AGGCGCAGAGTTCCTTCTGATATATCAAACCATACTCAATAATATATCGCCATATAATGCACCGATTGGCTTTGTACTTCTATAAGAAGTAGTCATTCACTTCTTAAATTAATCATCTTGGAAGGAAAAATTAAGGAGATAGGCGCAACATGGGTTTGTTTACTTTCCTTTTTCTAGCTAAATCTTTTCCCAATGGGCGTGAACATTCAGGTCTGACCAGACAACAGGCTTATGTTAAATTTGTCATTACGCATCAGCTACGCTTTATAATATATCGCCATATAATGCATTGATGGCTTTGGACCCGACCATATTTGAGGAGGATAGATCACTGCTTACTTGCTTACCTTCTTTGGAAAGAATACTAAATAACCAACTAGTTGAGTTGATTTTTCAAAGCCATTGTTTCAAAAATGCAAGTCCTTGATGTAGGTATACCGACCCGCACTCGAGTCTGCTGTATCAGCTGGTGCAATGATTACTCGAACCGTTTCATGAGTTCCGAGATAAGCAGAAATGGTTTTACTTCCAGGCGTGAGGTTTTTTTGGACCGCTGCTGGGAAAACATGATTGTATTTATGAGAACGTACTACCTGGGTCTTAGTCTTACTACCGGCGTGAGTAAGTAACAAGGCACAGTAGCCTGTGGGGAAGAAGTTGTATAAATATAAAGCTGTTGAACGTTGGCTTATACAAACATTTCGGTGAAAGTTGTGGTTTTCCAAGTTTGACCCTAGTAAAACTTCTTTTAAATAAACAAATATTCCAACTGCTTTTTTTCTCAGTTGCACATCTGCAGTGATGGGCTATGCCCTTTGCAGATCTTTCGCTCCTTTTGTCTTAAATGAGCTTTATCCATCGAAGTACCACGAGACATTCAATTATGATACATTAAATCATGATCGGAGTTAGATAATTGTTTGCTCCTGTTTCGTATATGTAAAACTCGACCTTAGTTCCTGTAGCCACGTGCTTCACAGTCCAATGTTTGATTTTTGTGTTGAATTAATTAGCGTCATTCTGCACACGAGAAACACGTTTCTGAACTAGCAACATTCTGCTCACATTTGGTTCACGGTTCGGTGGTAGACTTATATTTAAACAAAGATCTCTTACGGTCTTACGTGAAGTATTTCAACGAAATGGGAAGAGAGAAACCCGGAGATACGCTTTGTAAACAATCATTATCAGGAGGTGTTGACTTTCTTGCCAAGTTATATCGCTATTGTGGGAGCAATGCCACAATTTTAAGACTGCCATCCCCTTTTGTGATACAGCAAGATAGACGGTAAGATGATATCATGTTAAATAAGCTGTAGATGGAGGTAAAATGCGAGTTTGCGTGTGAATGTGTACATTTTCGAGTAACTGACGGCACCGTCAAATCAGCTCATTTCATACAACTTTCAAATTTGATTAAATCGTACTGAATCATTTCCCCTAAAAAATTCTTTGGAGATCGAAAAGAACTACACTTCGCCTT